CCCCGCTGCGGGGGCCAAAAATCGGCAGAACAAAACGCGCTCGGTGGGCATTGCTACATTGGCTACGAAAAGTTGCTGACGAAACTGGGATAATTTACATTGAGCCTAGAGGAGGTGTAGGCTTGTTTCATCGCGAGCCAACTGAGGGTGGCGAAGTTACCCGACTCTACTAAAGTCGATGAGGAAATCTCCATTCAAATCAAGAACCTCAACTTGAGGTTGTAGACAGAAAATGAGAACAAAAAGTAATAGATTCTAGAATCTAATCTAGATAGATCTAGATCTATATCTCTAGATCTAGATTCTATCTAGACTCTAGAATCTAGATTAGAATCAAGATCTAGATCTAGATCTAGATCTAGATTCTAGATGTAGATCCAGAGAGATCTAATATCTAAACATCTAGAATCTAGATCTAATAGCTAGCATCTAGAAATCTAGATTAGATCATTGTTGATACTGATCACCGATACCAGTGATAATAACTGACCGACTGGTGGATTGAATGGAAGTTGTCAAGCCGGCGACAATCAATGAATAAAAGCAGAATGCCAAGACCAAACTACTCTGCCTCGAAACGCCAGCTGACACGATCGATTGACAACTAACAAACACCTGGCACTGCAACAAAAAACACCAAATAGCTAACGTTTTGTGAAAAATAAAAGAAAAACAATGTTGAACAATTTCACACTAACCTTATTTACGGTCCCTATCGATTGCAGACTTTCAGCCTGAATGCGCATGTACTAACGGAAGTAACATATCTATGCAATAATTAACTTGTTGATATTGTTTGGGGAGAAAATACGGAGCGTAATATTTGTCAAAGTAGCGCCTTTTCGTTCTACTATAAATTTATCATTCAATTAAGATTGTTTAAAAATTACAGGGCTGCTATTCATTAAAAAAATGCAGGCTACAATAGGATGATGTCTTTTGCCAATGGCATTTGATAAATTTGCTCAAGGTATATTTTGTTCACTAGTCACCCCCTCAAATTTCTATGGGAGGCTACTCAGGGTGTTTTGTTTTGCTCGCTCAACAGTGACAACTGACAACAAGCTCTGGTTTGACTTATTGTATGTGAGTGACTACTGCTGCTGTGTGTAGTGTTATATTACATCTAGATTTTAGATCTAGATCTAG